AGGACTTTGGGATCTGGCTTGGAAGTGCAGAGGGGATGAGCTCAGAGGGGATGATACTTACTGGAACTCAGGCAGTGGAGTGCAACAAGTCTGCAGCCAGGTTGCTTCTCCTTCAGGTTAAATTAAATTATTTTGTTGTGGTTGATTTGTTTGTTTGTTTGTTTTGGTTTTTGAAATTATTCTTAGAGATGCTAGAATTGAAAGAAGTGAACAGAAATAGGCTGGAGCACCACTGGCACAGTAATTGATATTTTACTCTCATTCTTTTCCTTTTAAAAGTATATGTAGATAAGACCAACTTTTAAACTCTGTGGGTTGGGACAAACATTCTATTTTCCCTGTTTTTGGAAGAGACATGCAAGTCCTGAGACCCTGAGTCAACGCTCCCTGCATTTTGCTTATGTTTTTACAATTAAACAAGGGTCTGTTAGGATTGATGAGGAAGATACAACTCAGGAGCTCCCTGGGCAGCAGCCTCCACACTCTTTGGGTGATGCCAAGAGCAGTAGGGTGTGAAGGCTGCTTTCCAGTGCCAGATAAATCGATAATAAAATGCTCACTGATATCAAAGTCACTGCTTAGAAACCACTTGTTATTTCCCAAAGTGCAGGAGCTGGAGCATTTGACAAAGCCTGGGCAGAATGATGAAGAATATTCCTGTCACATTTCTCCTTCTCTTCCTGCACCAGCAAGAGGACCCACCCTCGTTAAGGGTTTTGTTCCTGTGTGACAGTGTGTAGTTCAGAGCTAAAGCCGTGCCCAGCAGCGTTCATGATTTAATCTGCACTGCCCCCTCAGCCGTGTGAGCTCTGAGCAGTGCGCTGGGCAGTGGGGCCGAGCCAATTTCGGGCACTCGGGCTCGGAGCTCCAAGGGTTTGGAGTCAAGAGCGGAGGCTGAGCTCCCTCTGTGGTCAGAGAGGGGAGACACCTTCCTGTGCAGGCAACGCTTTCCCAGCCGGGTTTGCTCTCCTGACAGCTCCAGCCTCGCCTCTTCAAGAGCAGAGCACGCTGTGCCCCCAGGGCTTTGCTGCTGGCAGCACTGGAGAGATCCTGGGAACACTGGGAGGGAACTGGGAGCACAGGGAATGCCAGGAGGGAACTGGGAGGGAGAGTGGGAGCAGCGGGAGTGAGCAGGAAGGAGCACTGGCAGGGATATCAGGAGCCCTGGGAAGGAACAGCGCTCCCAGCTCCTGCCCAGTGCTCTCCCCATCCCTGCCGGGGCTTGCCAGGAAGAGGGAAACTGGCAGGGAACTGGGAGGGAACTGCTCAGCACTGTGCGAGGGGCAGCAGCCCCAGGGGTGAGCAGTGAGGAGGGGGAAGTGCCCCCAGTCCCTCCTCAGTGCCCCCCAAAATGAGATTGAAATGGAGGGGGGAAAGCTTTTCTGTAATTGTGTTTGAACTGGGGAGGATCCCCATTCACCTGTGATTTGAAGGGTCTCAATTGAAGGGGAACACACCTTTTTCATAATTTTGTGTGCCTCCCTTGACAGGCAATCACCGTTTCCCATGACTTTCATATTAAAATAGAAGGAGAAACACTTTATGGTGCTGTTTGTATTGAGGGAGAGCCCCATTTTCATCATCTTCAGGCTCAGACCTAGCAAACACGGCTGTCCCTCATCTGAAAGGGCTTCCCTTGAGAGGAACGTCTGGATGTGCCGCTCTAAGAGTTCCATCGAAGGGGATCTTCCATTTGAAGGAATCTTCACAGATGAAAAAGATTTCCAAAATTCCCCCCCAGAATGGTCTTTCTGAGGGAAACTGAGGAGGGAAACTGCATTTCCAATAATTTTAGGTGGTATATTGAGGAAAATCCCCCTGATTTGTCACAGTACAATCAGCCGAGACTCCGTTTGTTCATCCAGAAAAGGCTCATCTTTGTTGCACAGCTCATATTTTAGAGTATTATCAGCTGGCACCGTGTTCGGTCTAATTGGCTCACAATACTCTGACACTTAGTTCATTGGTCAGTAAATGGAATTTTGCATTTTCACTAAACCTCTCTATTTTTGGTAAGTTTACATATATTCTTCTCTGATTCACATGGGACAGATTTCTCATTTTTGAGAGTGTGAACCTGTTTTTCTTTACAACAAGAGACTGTTCTGCAGACTGATTGTCATTCCTCTGATTCTCTCTCATGGGAATTAACAGACAAGCTGTGAGCTGCACCCAACCCAATAATTGGGAGGGTCTCCCTCACAAACCTCAGAAACAAATCTCTCAATAATAGCAGCTATGAGATGCCCCAAACACAGCAAACTGCTGGAGTGCTCCTGTGAGAATACCTGGGGCTGTGTCTGATTGCCACAGAGCAGGAGCAGCCTTGCCCTCAGCAGGTCACAGCCCTGTCCCATGAGGATGTGGCACAAAAGNTTCAGACTGCTGTAATATTTAATCTCTAATTTTAACAAACTCACAATATATTCTGTGGGACTTGCAACAGCAAAAGCATCATCACAGACCGATGCAGAACTCTGCTAGAAGTCCTAAAGCCCAACTAACAATCAATCAATTAGCTAGAGATCCTCCAAACCATAAAGCTGAAGATGAAGCCGAATCCCTTTCTAGAGTAGGAATAAGAGATATTACAAATGCACCCAGAGAGACTCTTTTAACCGTACAACTGCAAGAATCCCTGAAAATGCCGATTCTCTGATTCAACAAGCCACAACTAAACCTTATCTTGCCTTTTTAGATCGCTTGGCACAAGCAGTTCAAAAGCAGTGTCCTAAGGAAACAGCACAGCCTCATTGAATTAAAGCCTTGCCTTTACTAATAGAAACAATGAATGTAAAAGGGTTCTTTTACCAGCCCATCCAGCAACAGTGCCCCGAATGCTCTCAGCTTGTGGTGAGCTCAGCCCTCCACAGCACATCGTGACTATACAAGCTCCCACACTGGTGGAACAACTTACAAAGTCCCGAGATCCGCTGGGAAATAAATTCTAAAGAGTTATTGAGGCTCAGAGCAAAACTATTGAAGAAACCCTCACTGCTTTCCAACTACAGCCAATTAAAGAGCCATGTTTTACCTGTAAAAAAAAAAAAAAAAAAAACTCAGTCATTTAAAAAAAGACAGTTCTGAAGTAGAGAAAACCAGAAAATTACCTAATACTTATCCTCAGTACAAAAAAAGAGAGACATTATACCGATCGCTGTCACTCCAAATTTAACATAACAGAAAAGCCTCTCTCGGGAACTTCAACAAGAGCTCACAGCGCCACAGTGCCACAAAACAAAGAACGCCGGCTCCATCGCAAACAAACTTAGAGCAGATGCGATTTGTAAAATCACCAGAAATCTCCCGAGCAACCCCGACTTATTACCCCAGGGGCACGATGCAAACTAACAACTTCTACATTAACATACCTCTAAACAAACTTTCGTCATCAATTTCTGCCCACAGGCGTTACTAGTACTTCACAACAAAGACAGGACTTTTTAATTCTAAGCTGAGACAAAAACATAATTCTTAGATTTTTAGTTTCCCAACTATTATTTCAGTACACTGTAACCAAGAGCTGATAGCTTTAGCTCTTGCTTACAGCACTCCAGCAGTAATTCAACCCAAACCACTCAGAGCTATCACTGCTGCATTGCCAGTGCCTGTAACTGAGCAAGACATCCATGGAGAGCCTGTGCTTTTAACTAAGCCAACTGTGCACCAAGGAACAGCACNTTTTCCAGGAGGGAGCTGTGGCAGACACTGCCAAAGGCCTTGCTGGAGCCCAGACAGACACATGCACAGCCTTTCCTGCACCCACCAGCAGGGTCACCTGCTCATGCAAGGACACCAGCTTGGTCAAACACGCCCCAGCCCTCCTAAACCCCTGCTGGCTGGCTCTGACACCCTGGCCATCCTGGAAGTGCTGCCCGTGGAATCAATATGAACTGCTCCATGACCTTACTGGGCACTGAGGCCAGGCTAACTGGCCTGCAATTGCCAGGATCCTCCTTCCCACCCTTGTTGTGGATGGGTGTCACACTGGCCAGCTTCCAGCCATCTGGAACCTCCCTAGTGAGCCAGGGCTGTAGGTAAATGATGGAGAGCAGCTTCCCAAGCTCATCTGCCAGCTCCCTCATTCCCCTGGGGTGGATCCCCTCTGGGCCCACAGATTTATGAACATCCAAGCAGCTCAGCAGTTCTCTGACTGCCTCCTCCTGGATAACAGGGGGCCCCTTTTTCTCCCTGGCACCATCCACCAGCCCAGGAGGACACTTGTCCTGAGGACAAGCTGTGCTCCCACTAAAGGCTGAGGCAAAGAAGGCGTTGAGCACCTCTGCCTTCTCCTCATCTGCAGTTACTGAGTTCCCTCCTGCACCCAAAAGAGAACAAAAGCTGGTCTTACCCTTCCTTTTACCATTAATATATTTGTGAAAACCTTTTTTTATTATCCTTTACAAAAGTTGCCAAAATATGTTCAAACTGAGCTTTGACATCACAAATTTTTTTCCCACATGCACTAGCAACCTCCTTAAATACTTCCTGAGGAACCTGACCCTCCTTACAAAGATGATACATCCTCCTTTTATCTCTAAATTCCTTCAAAACCTCGTTGCCCATCCAGGCTGGACGTTTGCCTTGTCGACTCCTCTGTGGGCACACAGGGAGGTCTGTTCCTGTGCCCTCAAGGTCTCTGTTTTGAGGCATGCCCACCTTACCTGAACTCCTTTGTTTTTAGGGGCTGCTTCCCAAGGAACTCTCTGAATAAATCTCCTCTATAGGCCAAAGTCTGCCCTCAGGAAGTCTGATGTAAAGGTTTTATTGATGCCCCTCCTGATATCACCAAATAGGGAGAACACTGTAATTTCATATTCACCGTGCCCCAGGAGGCCTCCAACAAGCAGTGCTCCCGCCAGCCCATATCCCCGTTGACAAACAATGCATCTAATCAAGTCGCTCTACTGGAAAGCTCACTCTCCAGCTGTGACTCGTGAGACCTGGCAACATACACTGACTGCTATCGCTCTTGATCTGGCTTCTTTTCCGATTCCCAGTTCGCTCGGGCCACAGTATCTTCATTGACAGTGACTGACATCGTTATCGTTGTCGCTTTCGCTTTCGAGTCTGCAGTAGGCAGGAAGGCAAGCAGCCCGCCTCGGCCCCCCGCCCTCCACCACCACCGCTCCGCCATTAGCGCCCCTGGGCTGATTGACCAAAAAGGCCAAAAGCCACTCCCCGCTCCAAATGGACAGATAATAAATGGGATGGTGGGAAGAGAGTGCTNCCCCCGCTGCCCCTCGGGCGCTGCTCCGAGCTTTGGCTGCTCCGGAGCTGCGAGGAACGGATTTGTACAGAATCTTTAAAATTTGATAGAAAGTTCACACAGTCTTGTATATCTGTATGCAAATATTGAGATCAGGTGTCTTGACTTAGGAAAGCTACGGAATAGAGATGATATTGTTCAGAGAGAGATTAAATTAGAAACGTTTTCAGATATGGCTTTATAAAAAGAGAACTATTTTAGGGAATTAGAACTCTGAAAGATGAATTGTAATAGGACTACAGGAGGTAAAAATATAGGTGACTGGTATTTGAAGTAAGAGCAGTATTGTGTAGTAAAAGCTAATAGCTTGAAAAGCATTTATAAGGTATTGTAATTCGGAAAGAAGTTAGCCTTTAAGAAAATAACGTTGAGGTTTATATTTCTTATGTTTCATTCCTTATTAACATTAATAATAAAATATTTTAAACCACTTCTCAGTTATGCCATCTTTATAGAAACTAATAAACCCAACAAAACAATACTTCCATTATAATAAAAACAAAACCTCAACTATCTTTTAAGCACTTAAAAACATCAAAATACTTTTTGTTCAGTGCTACTACAAAGAAACAAGACCCTAAAGAATTAGCTCTTCTACCAAAACAAACAAACAAACACACAACAACAAAAAAACCCCCACACCAAACAAACAAAAACCCAAAAAACAAAATAAAACAAAAAACCCAAACAGTCAAGACTTCTACCTACATCATGAGCTCAACTCAAACAGAAACCATTATCTCCTATTGCACAACATCAAGCAAGTTGTAAAAAACATAATCAAGCACAAAATATCCAAGCAACCCAGAGACATTTATAAAAGCCTTAAAGTTCCTTGAAGATCTAATTCTTATAATATTTCTAAACGAAACCTAAAAATTTACTATCTTAAGTCCAAAACAAGTTTCCAACTATAAATAATAGTGCTATGTTCACCTTCCCTCTGAGACCCAGTTAAATTCAAACTGTACAATACTTCTCCCAAAAACCAAATCCATACAACTACAAATGTATTCCCCTCCGTACAAATGAGGTAATAATTAACTTACTTTAAAAACCTGCAAAGCTTTCCACTTNAAAGCTGTTCCCGAGGCCGAGCTCCCAAAGGATCTTCCAGCAGCACTCTTGATGTCTCGAGAGCAACGTGCTGTTTGTTCTGGGCAGAGACATGCCGACTGTGAGCAGGCGAAGAGTGAATTCTGCTCCATTGCTGGAGCGACAAACGAGCCCCGGCATCTCCAGGAGGGACCCGCAGCCGCGGTTCCACACTTGCCTGGGGCCCAGGAAGCCTCTTGGCCTAAGCAAGGAGATGCCACTTGTGAGCGTGCAGTGAGTGCAGATGTGGAGAATGGATTCTGCACCAGGGATGGGAGTGTGAGGGAGCCCCTGGCTCCCCAGGGCACTGCAGCAAGGGGCAATGAACACAAAAGGAACCTCAGAAGATTCCTGAGTGAGTACAGGGTCACCCCGGTGTCATCCAGGCAGGGGCCCGTGTCCCCTCCCAAGGCCAGGGCTGGCAGGTGTGTGGCTGTTTCCCGATGTCTGGAAGAGGCCTCGTGCTCTGCTGGGCCCCATCCGTGGCTGGAAGCAAGAGCCCCAGCTGCCCCCAAGGCTGTGCAGTTCTCCAGCTGCAGCCTGTGCCCACCGCTGTGTCCCTGGCCATGGGCTGAGCAGATTGCAGGGCAGGCTCTGCTTCTGGCAGCCAGCAGCTCTTTCCTGCTCCAGGTGAATGGTTCAGGTGCCATCCCGTGGGCACAGCGGTGCTGATTCTGCTGCTCCTGGTGCTGGTGCTGGCTTTGAGGGCGGCCTTGGCTGTGCTGGCAGGTAAGGGAGGAGCAGCAGCCTGGGCCCAGCCCCTTGGGGCAGAGCGGGCTCCCTGCTCCCTGCACAGGGGAATTCTCAGAGCTTCTCTTCATCCCCCTGCTGCACCACAGGTTCCAGTCACACCTGCGACTCCGCTCTTGGTTCTGGGCTGTCCTCATGGCTGGGTGGGCTACAATGGGGTCTGCTACTACTTCTCACTGGATTTCAGCACGTGGGAGCAGGGTCAGGAACGGTGCTCCGAGCTCAATGCCTCCCTGGCCATTGCCAAGGATGAGGAGGCCATGGTGAGTGAGGGGCTGCGGGCGGTGTGGGGTGGCTGAGGGCAGCCTGGGGGCGCTCCTGGGCCGGGCTCGGTGCTCGCAGGGCCGGGGCTGCAGCCCTGGGCCGGGGCCTTGCAGAGAAAGAGCCCCGGCGTGCGGGGGCAGCCCCGGGCACGTGTCCCCCCGAGGGGCCGGGGCAGCTCCCACTCCTCTCTCCTGGGCAGGATTTGCTCTCCCGCCTCCGCGGGAACGGCGATTACTGGCTCGGGCTGCGCAGACGGGGCCAGCGCCTGCACTGGGGGGACGGCAGCAGCTACAGCTCCCGGTGAGTGCCGGGGAGCCGGGCATGGCCTGGGGGCACAGGGGCACAAGGGCTTCCCCTGGCAGCTAGCGCTGCCTCTGCTCCTCCCTGCAGGGTTCCTGTCCTCGACAATTCCGAATGTGTGTACCTGGCTGACGAGAGATTCAAGAGTGGGAACTGCTCCAATGAGCGGCCGTATCTCTGCAGCAAGGCCCAAGCTCCCCTGTAACAGGGGCTGCACAAAGGACCTTCTCCACGCTGGGCAGTGCCAGCTTCACCTCTGAGCCCAGCACAGCGCTGTCCTTCCTCAGCTGCACCCTGTGCCTTGCACTTCCTCTCAGGGTCACCTCAGTGCCTCTTCATCCCCAGTCAGTGCTGGGCTGGGGGCGCAAAGGAAAAGTCTCTGCAATCTATCCTGGCACCGATGCTGCCTGCAGTGAGTGCATTGCCCTCATTACACGTGAGAAACATTGCTCAATATTTACACTTTTCATAAAAGTTAATTTAGCATTAAAGTCCTGCCTTGGGATTCTGGTCTGCTTGCACACGGTTAACTTAAACTATGTTTTTTATGTTCCGTTACGTATGAGGCCTGTGTGCACATTTTTAAGAGTTTCAAAGAGTTTAAACTTAACTTTCAATTTACATGTTGTTTGTGGTTGTTTTTAACTTGTGACTTGACTTCAGGCCATCTTGTACCTTAAACTACTATATTTCATGGTTTCTTGTGCCTGTATCTTGTTGCAGTTTCACTCCCTGATAACAAGGCCCCATAAAAGCTTTTTATTTCCCATGCTCTTGTTTCTGTTATCTTGTCTTTCTGATAAGAATGTCCTTGAATGCAGGAAACCAATTCATTATTTTACACCATTTTCTGAGTTAGTTAGATGAAACAGTCATTCCAAGATATCCCAATCTCTCTTATGCTATGGTCTAAGATAGTATCTATTACACCTCTATTTATAAAAGCTGTAGGGTGCATAGATAAAGTGACAGATTAGACTACAACAAAACCAGTAGTTACAAATTGTACTATAGTACAATTTTACTATGTCAGGGTTTTTGTGATCAGTAATAGCTTGCAAAACAAAAGTTAGTACATAAATGCAAAATTAGTGCATAAATGCAAAAGCCAATACCTATATTCGTTATTTATTACATTATACAACAAGCTAGACTGGGGACTCCAAATCACCCTGGGCTCTTGGAAATCATCACGAACTGGCCCGAAGGTGAGACTTCTGGACAGTCCTTGGAAGATATGAGAAACGACCCTCACTTTTAAAATTTTAAACGTTCATTAAAGCTTAACAAATACAACAATGGACTGAATAAGGAAAAATTACAGTGCTAGGAGTCTCTGCAACTATCAGTCGTGGTAGTTTACAAAATGGATGCTCTGCCTTTTATTCCCTCAGCCCCTCCCAGAATTTTGTCAGTCAGCTCCTTCTCTGCCCTCCACAGGTGGAGATCACTTCCTCACACCTTGATTGGAGCTCAGGTGTTGCCCTGTGGCCCCTCCTGGTAATGAGCCGCCCCTCCCCAAATGCCCTGGGAACTGAGGCTGCTACCAGGGGGAGGAAATGGGGACTGTGGGGGGACATATTGCAGTAACAGCACTCTACATCTACAAAACTTCTCCTAACACACACATAATATCTGTCTCTTAATTGTGAGAGCCAACCACCACATCACTCATCTATAACAAACCACAATTTCCATATGAGTAATTTTGTCTTCTGGTTCCTCCTGTATTAAAAGACAGCTGAGCAATGACAGAAGTCTGGGGTGCCTTTCTTGCCCCCACCTTGCCATGCTTTTGGGGTTGCTGCCCACAGCAGGGCTATGGAATCTTCTTGGTGGTGAACACAGGGGCCAACCTGGTCTTGCCCTCTATTTCCTGTTTCACTCTGCTTGTTGGTCCTTAAGGAAACTGCCCCAATACCTCTTACAGTTCCCTGTGTACTTCCCCTCAAGAGATGCTTGTGATTCTCATCTATTAAAACTGGACAATTACATTAATGAATGATACAGTTCAAACTTCCTGCCTAAAGTGTTAGTTAAACAACCTTCAAGCTGGTGGAAGTTGGACTCCACTTCTGGGACATCTTTGAGCTTCTTTGGTGCTCTCTCACCTGCTCTGGATGTTACAGTCTATTCTTTGGGTTCTCTCACCAGCCTTCAATTCTGTTGCTGTGACACCGCTCTCAGTCTGTGGCTGGCACAGCCCATTCAGGGGTGAGCAGCACCTGAAAGGGACCTCCCCACTGCAGGGTTAACACTGAAGGCAATGTCCATAGCACAGCCTCATCTGTTTCATTATTTCAAAGGGTAATTGAGTGTTACAGTAGTTACCCAGCACTGCTGGCCACTGTGTGGCCCAGGAAGCCCCACAGTCCCAGAGTGGTTCAGCACTGGGCCCAGCATTCCCTTCTGATGGCAGCAGTTTCCAGGGAACGTGGGTTGGAACTGCAGTGGGTCACAGCCAGCGCAGATACCCTGTTTATAGGGATTCCATGGAAACATAAACACTATTAAATTTGATGGAAATCACTGTACACAACTTTACATCAACTTTTTGGCAAAATTATACGTAGAGGCAAATTCTTCTCCTTGCAAGAAGAGCTTGTACACAGAGAGCCAGGGGCCATTTCAGTCAGCAGAGCTAAGCAGTGAGACATAAACAAACACATGTCCTGGGTGTGCCCAGCTTGTGTGTGCACACAGGTGTTCCAGTGCGTGTTTTAATTATAATTCAGCCATAGCAGTCAGTTTTATAACCCCCCCTATTTTATATTGTTCTGATATATTTTGTCATTAATGGATTGTTCCTTTTCCCCTGTTGTCGTTGGTTTCACCCTGCTTGTCCATCTTCCCAAAGACCTGGCCTTTGTTCCGGAATGTTCCCTGTTCCTCCACCCACTGACTGCCAATCCCTTCCCATGCCTGCCCTTATCTCTAAAATCCTCCCTGTCATTTTTGTATTCTTCGAGGCCCCATTGGTTTGTTTAAACTGCTCTCCTTTCCTGTAATTCCCTATTCATTTAAACATTGTATCCCCACCTTGTGCTCCTCGCCCAGCTTTTCCTCATTGGTTAAAGTTTTGTGCCCTCCCCTGAGACCTCCCCCTTATATAAGTTGATGTGCGCCTTTGTTCAGGGTCTTTCAGATGCTGATCTTCCTGGGAATAAACATCTTTGGAAAACATACAGAAGACCTCTCCCTGTTCCTTCTCCCTGTCTCCAACACAGTTTACTCGAGCTGTAGAGCAGCTGTGCCCAACAGCTGCACCCCAGATCCAGTAGCTTTCTGGGGCTCCCAGTCTCACCCACGGTGTCAGGAATTAACAGGGCTGAAGAAATCTAGCCCTGCAGCACACAGGGACATGTGCAGAGCCAGTGCTCACACACACAAAGCCCTGCTCACCTGCACAGAGCTCCTGTGCCCCACGGCACTGCCAGCAGCACCCACCTGTGTGCACCCAGCCTGCCACAGCAGCACACCTGTGCTGCACAGACACTCACCTGTGCACAGTCCCTACCAATGCACACGGGCCCCAAGCAGGGACCTGCTGGCACGTAGAGCCTGAGCACGGCAGCGTGTGCAGTGTCACACACAGCAACACACACCCGTCCCACACAGAGCCCTGCTCACACCTGTAGAACCTGTGCACACTCACAAGCACAGAGCTGTGCACAGCCCCACTCACAGCTGAGAGTGCAACGCAGCCCCCGTGCCCACAGCAGGGCACACAGCCCGTGCCCACAGCAGCACATCCCTGGGCACAGAGCTGGGCACAGCAGCACACAGTGCCCTGAGCAGAGCAGGATGTGTGCCCTCACACCTGGGCACAGCACACACACACAGTGCCCATGGCAGAGCAGGACGTGTGCCCTCACACCTGGGCACAGCACACACAGGCACACAGGGCCGGGCACACTCAGGCACAGCTCTTGGGCACAGCTCTCCTGGCCCCGATGCCCCCGGGCTCTCTCCTCGTGGGACCGTGACACACTGGGCATGGGGACATTGTGGCACTGTTTAAAGAGCCCCCTCTGTGCCTTTGGGCTGGGGACACACAGGCCTGTGCTAAAGGAAAGGTCAGAGAGAGACCAGGCTGGATTCTGCTGCTTGCCTCTCACCCTCCAAGGGCCAAACTGAGCCCGTTTTGCCATCCTGTGCTCCCCAGAGCCTGGGGAGCTCGAGGGAGAGCATTGGGAAGGTTGATTGAGGGTCACTGCTGGTGCACAGCACTCGGGGCATTTTCCACCCCTTCCATTCCCATGGGCTGTTAGGTCAGGAACTCACAACAGCCTAAGCCCACTGCCTCAGCAGCTTGTGCTCTGTCCAGGGGCCCCTTTCACTCCTTACCTGAGCAGGGGAACGTGTGGCTCTGGTGCTGGGGAGGGCAGCTCACAGTGCCCTGGGGACAGGGAAAGGAAAGCTCCAGGCCTCTCTGCAGGGGGACAGGGACTTTGAAACAAAGGTGTGTGTTGGAGATTTTTTGAGAAATGGCTTAGAAGGCAGCTGTGAGAAGCAAATTCTCACAGCCTGTTTCTGTAAACAGTAGAAGTTCTCAGGTTTTTTTTAATTACAAGTAAAAGTGACAAACATGAAGGCCTTGAGAACCTTGCATACCAGAGTTCTCAGGCAGCTTTCTCATAACAAGTAGATATTCTATCTTTGGCTGTTTTGGGAAAGTAAAAGTAAGTTTGAGAACACAAATCTTGGTATTGGAAACAAAAGGAGGGGTTGGTGTGTTATCTCTGACCTATTGTGAGCTCGGGTTTGCAATATGCATGAACTTAATTAACACGGTTATAAAAAGTGACTGATTGAGTCAATAAACGGAGTCGATGCTGATCAAGAAAGGTGGGTCTTCTCCCTCCCCTTCAATAGGTGTGCATCAAGATTTCATCTTGGACTAAAAGGGGGAAAGATGTCTGTGTTATGCATGGAAATTAGAGTGGAAAACAACTGCAATTTCTAATAAAGAATTCTCATCAATATAAGGTCTCTTGTTTTCTAAAGAAGTTTTGGTTCGGTGAGACAGAAAATCACTTTCTGATGTACAACTGTCAGTGCTTACTTAAGGTACACTTTTACAAGTTATATATTCAGTTGTCTACAGCAGTGCTAGAGAATCTAGGAGCATCTGAATCCCTGCAGTGTAACAAAGCCTTTGAAACCCAGCTGTCAGAGGGTAGCCACGGGCAGGAAGGCAGCTGCACCAGGTTAGCTGGAAATTAAAGTGGAAAGATAAAGGCAAGTTCACTTTATAGGCAGATGATGTCACATCGGTTTTCTGGTGGGTAAACCTTCTTATAGAGGTGAAAAGTTTTAGGTTTAGCTGCTAACCCTAACCCTAACTCCTTGCCAAGAGTGGATTTGCTGTTTCTGATACTGCTAAACTATTCCATGGCTCCCCTGGAGTCC